CCAGGCCAGCAGGGGCTAAAAAAAAACCCCGTCTCAAAAAACCAAAAAAAAAAAAAAAAAAAAAAAAAAAAAAAAAAAAAAAAAGAACTGCAAGCCAATATCAGTTTATATCAACAGAAACTAAGAGGAAATGTGGAAATCCAATAGGGCACTTGTGGAAGGAATACAATGTCGGACTGTACTAAGCTTACACATATAAAACTATGATGACATGTTATATAACAAATTGAAACAGAGACTCATGATTTACTATGTGAGCTCAAGTGGCCAGGAGTGGGTGTCATAGTTTTCTTGTTTGGTTATTTGGTTGTGTAAAACTGAACCCAAGGAGGCCACACTTACATTTTAAGTAAACAGCAAAGAGAAGATTTCTGGTACAGAATAGAGTTGGGAAAAGGCAATATTGGCTTCAAATGCTATCAGCCCTTAAGAAGAAAGGAAAGAAACTGATTGTTTTCTTACCTACATCTTAGAAATTTTACCTTAGCCTTACTTTTTACATGAATCCCAAACACAAATATCAAAGGTCCTATCTTCCAGTCTTGTGTGCCACTTGCCATTTTCAAATAGTCTCTCCTCATAAAGTCTGTGCGATGTGCTTAATTTTAATGAGAGACTTTAGTCAACTCATTTAACCAGGCAAGCACAGAATCTTCCCTCTCTTTCTAATTGTTCTCCCTCCATTGGAACTCATCCCTTGGGCTGAACTGAGTGAACACATAATTCTCCCTCATTCCTTGGTGTCTAGCACATTCCACCTGTGCGTTTATGTTGCTGCAGTTTATGACCCCAATTTTTCTATTTTTGTCAAATTAAGGAATTTGAACTCCATTTGCATGGTAGTTTAGTTATCGTAGCGGACAACAGGAGCCAGAAGTAAACAAGGGAGGACAAGAGGAGAGTCAGCTCTGGGGTTTTGCATTCTCTTGCTCCTGACTCCAGAAATACTCCAGCTCTTGGGAGTATCAACTAAGAATCTAAGAACACAACTGGATGCCTGGATGCTTTTTAAGGGAAGATTTGTCCTTAAATACTCTTCAGACTCTTCAATTTTGCTTCATGCTTTATAAAAATGTTTAAACTTTTTTTTCACCCAAATACTTCTTTTATGAAGATTTTAAAGCTGAGAATGTAGCTTACTGTCAGAACCAGCATGCGTAGAACCTTAGTTTGATCCCCAACACTGAAAAAAGATTTTAATCCTTAAAAGGAAATATTCAAGAAGATACTTATGGCTTTGAAGACTATGAACAAATCTCAGTGTATGATCTACACAATTCATTATATATATATATATGTATATATATGTATATGTATATTAGTGAGTGTATTGCCTGAATATATGGAAGTACA